CAGGTAAATGATGGAGCTGGAGAATATAATGCTAAGTGAAGTTAGCCAATCCCATAAAACCAAATGCCGAATGGTTTCTCTGCTATAAGAGGCTGACTCATAATATGCTGGGGGGTGGGTGATTAAACGAACTCTAGATAGGGAAAAGGGAGGAAAGGGCGGGCAGGGGCACAGGGATGGGAAAGATGGTGGAATTCAATGGTCACCTAAGCACATGTATGAAGACACCAAGGATGTGACTGTGTGCAACCAGAGGTATGAAAAATTGTGCTCGGGCTGGGGATGTGGCTCAAGCGGTAGCGCGCTCACCTGGCATGCGTGCGGCCCGGGTTCGATCCTCAGCACCATGTACAAAGATGCTGTGTCCGCCAAATACTGAAAAATAAATATTAAAAAAAAAATTGTGCTCTATGTGTATAATAAGAACTGTGATGCATTCTGCTGTCATGTATAACAAATTAGAAATAAAAAAAAAAAACCCACAGGAACCAGAGGAGAGGGAACAGTCCCTTGGAGTATCGGAAGGTGTCCAGTCGGCCAAACAGGGTGCCAAATGTCTCAAGAACACGTTGATAAGGACCTTGTTGTGTAAAAGGAAAGGGGATTTATCCAGCAGACCCATTTACAGAAAGTGCTAAGGGGCTGTTTAGGCTGAAGGAAGACGATGGCAGGGAGAAGTTTGCCCTGGGCCCTCCTCCACTCCTCTCCTGTGCCGTGTTGGGTGAGGTGGACCAAATGCTGGGCCATGGGACAGGTCTCAGTAGGTCTGAAAGGACTGAAATCATACAGAATACACCCCTGGTGCTGAAATTAAATCAATAATACCAGGATAACTAGGAAAGCCTCCAGTATTTGGAAATATCCAGCAACTTGTGGGTCAAAGAGCTTACAAAAGAAATAGAAAATACTTCGAATTCTGTAAAAATAACATCAAAATTTGGGGGATGCAAGGGAAGCATGGGCAGAAGGAGTTTCAACTTGAGCTGATTATGGCTAGAAGTCAACCTGCCAGTTCTAAAGTTCTTACAGGAGTGCCAAGGGTCGAGTTCAGCCAAGGTAATCCTGAACCCAGCTGATCACTGGTAGTAACGTGTCACAACAGCAGAGTCACCAGACGGCTCGGCACTGGTGAGGGAGTAGGTGAGCAGACCAAGGGAGTAGAACAGAATCCAGAAAAAGACACAGTTGCCACCAGCAGTGAGGACGGCCTTCAGTGATTGGTGCTGGGTTGACTGGAGGCCCACAGGGGAAAGGAACAAATCTGGACCACACCTCACAAGCAGGAAGGGTCGACCCCAGCTGAACTGAAGATCTAAGCGTGAGAGAAAAATAACAAAACTTAGAAGGAAGTCTGTTTATAATCTTGGAAAAGGTGAAGATCTTTAAATGTAAGCACAAAAAAAAAAATGTGCTTTCCCACGTAAAGGGAGAAATGGAATTGCATGACATTAAGGATGTCTCATAGGGCTGAGGACATAGCTCAGTGGTGGAGTGCCTGCCGTGCATGCACTAAGCCATGGGTTCAATGCCAGTACCACAAAAAATGATAATAATAACTCATAGAAGATGTCATTAGCAAGTAGCCAGGTGCAGTGGCACAGGCCTGTAATCCCTGCAGCTAGGGAGGCTGAGACAGGAGGATCGCAAGTTCAAAGCCAGCCTCAGCAATGGCGAGGCGCTTAGCAACTCCGTGAGACATTGTCTCTAAACAAAATACAAAATAGGGCTGGGGATGGGGTTCAGTGTCTGAGTGCCCCTGAGTTCAATCCCTGGTGCCAAAAAAAAAAAAAAAAAAAATCCCTCAGTGCATGGGAGGCAGCCACAGGTGGGAGAAGACAGTGCAGAGAATGGGCAGAGTCCTCAGCGCTCACAGAAGAGGGTATCAGAGACCCCATCTGCCACCAGGGAAGTGTGAGTTGAAACCACTGCAGTCCCTCCAGAATGGCCAAAGGAAGGGACTGCCCGTCCCTCGTGTTGGTGGGAGGAAGAGCAATACTGACTGCCAGAGACTTGTTTCCACACTCTGAGCTCAGCGTCTGGACCAGCAGTCACCCCCAAACGTGTGCTACACAGAAGCGTACCCTGCGTGCCAGGGAGCCAGCCAGGATGCACTCATGGACCCCGCTTCGCAGCCTCTCCAGACACCCAGACCTCCACAGCATCAAAGCAGGCAGGTGGCCACTGGCAGCCATCGTTGTACCCCATCTCCCTGATCAGCCCCCTTAGCGGGACGCCCGCAGCCTTGGTTTCAGGACCAGCTCACTCCACCAGCTGCCGTGTGCTCAGGGCTCACGCGAACTGGCCGCACGGCACTAGTTGGCATCTCTTGACTTTTCCAGGCAGACTGATGCTCCTGGACGTATGCAGCACGTATCTCGTGTTTTCTCATCCACTCACCCCTGACGGACACTTGGGTGGCTCCCACCTCTTGCACTCGTGGGTTTTGGCACCTCTGATGAACAGTCAGGCGCAGGGGTCCAGTGGGAGCTTAGTAACCATCTAAGGAGGCCGAGGAGAGCTCTGCCTGCCCAGGGGCTGCTTTCCTTGGTGTGAGCATGCCTACTGTGGCTGACTTCAAGCTGACCCACGATGTCACTGAACATGTGTTAGTCAGCTTTCCATCACTTGTGACCATGAGCCCAGGAATGGGTGAGTCCACCAATGAGGCCGGAGCCCTCACGATACAGCCACCTCCCCAAAGCCCCTCCTCCGGACATGGCTGCACTGGAGACCAAGCCTTCCTCCCGAGAGCCTCAGGGGAACGTTCAGATCCAACCACACAGTGTGGAATCGGGAAGAGACGCCCAGGTGGTTCTGGTCAACTGGATGCAGTGTGTGTGCCACGGAATTATCCTTTGTTCCGTAAAACCTGGCCCCACTCTGAAAGCGCACAGGAAAGTCTACACAGGCGTCTGTTTCCTCCAGGAGGTGCAGGAGGACATGGCAGGGGTGTAGCCAGGACCAGCTCAGCACAAGTGAGAGGGTGGGCTCCCGTGGGTTGAACAGTGCCCACAAAGATACGTCCAGGGCGGGGAAAGGGGAGCTCGTGTGCACTGGGGACAGTTTCAGCCTCACAAGGCGAGAAGGGCTCTGGAGGTGGCGACCGTAGTGGTCGCTCAACATGGTGAATCTACTCACTGCCACCAAACTGCTTGGACTGGAATTCCGTCACACCTGCAGGGACGGCAAGAGGTGGGAAGAGGGGTACAGCCATTCAAGAAATAGGGGGCGAGGTGCCTCAAAAAGCCAAAGTAGAGCCACCGTGCGAACCAGCTGCCATCTCTGGGTGTGCATCCCAGGAGATGGAAAGCACACGTCACATAGATTTCTGCCCCACGTTCACGCGCCCTTGTGCACAGTCGTGAAGATGCAGAACAGCCTAAGTGTCCACCCACGGAAAAATGGGCAAAAAAACAGAGAACATCTGCACCACGAA